CGTTAACTTTTCAGTTAACTTTTCAAGTAACTTTTTTATTTTCCAGCTGAATTTCAAAGCCTATTTAAAAAATCTAGTCCATCCATCCCCCTTCCTTCAGTATATTTCTCTCCTCCTTGCATAGATACTTCATTGCAAGATCTGTAGATTCACAGACCTATGTTGGCATCTGCAATCTAAAACATTTTACCATATATTTTATGACATACTTCTTAACAACTGTCAAAATGCTGTACCTATATGAATGCTGAAGGAACATGCAGATATTTTTGATTTGTGAGTGAATTATACTTGAAGAGCTCCAGATCATTTTGCTTGCCCTCCAGACCTTATTGAACTCTCATAATCGGGATGATATGAACGGAACATTCCAGAATTATGTAGACTAATCCATTCCTGAATTAATAATTCTGCTAGAGATGGTTTTGTTTTTATGTTCCTCATCTTTTTTTAAGCAAACTTCATTTTATGTTGCTTTAATTAATGGTTATTTTTAAATTTTAGATGTATCGCACAGAATGCAGTATAAAATAAATGCAAGAGACTGAATAAATGAATTTACAGATAAGTTGTTTCTGCTTTTTAAAAGAATGTATAAAATTGTTCCTTGTCTAATTTTTCTGTTTTGTTTATTTTTAGCATGTTCAGCTCTTGGTGTTGACCAGTTAGATTCTGTGATCATTTCTCCCCCTCCAACTGAAGATGGAATTAATTTTTCTTTAGAATATTTAAAACCTTATTGGACAGAGCTTGAAAATTTAGTCCAGAACAAAAAGATTGTTGCTATAGGGACTTCTGATCTAGATAAAACATTGCTAGAACAGCTGTTCGGGTGGGCACAGGTAAGAAAGAAGCTGCTCATTGTGAATTCAACTCCATTAAAACACAAACTTTATTACATATTGAATGTTTTATTTACTTTAGGTGAAACCAAGTAGTAACCAAGTGAATCTTGCTTCCTGTTGTGTAATGCCACCAGATCTGACTTTATTCGCAAAAGAATTTGACATTCAGCTGTTAACACATAACGACCCAAAAGGTAAAATGTCACCTTAAGAATTTGAGGATTGCCTTGTTAGAATAAACAAGAACAATTCTATTAGTGAACTGAAGACTCTGAAGACTTTCTAAAGCTCTCTGATTGAGGGTTGGTACGAGGCCTTGAAAACCTTTGAGAAACTCTTTTTCTTTCCATTACATTGGGTGGGATGGTGGCAAAATACATAATATATTACGTGAGATGATACTTACGATGAGTAGTGCAGAAGAGGATTTTAGCATTGAAAAGCTCCAGCAATGCCTCCCATGATCTGGTTATTTTCAGTTAAAGAATTCCAATCTCAGAAGTCTCAGATGAAGCTGTACCTTCTTGAAAAATATTGGCTCTGTTACCAAGAATTTTGCCCCAATTTGAGGGTGGGGGAAATGATATTAATTTTAAACCACTTAAAATATAGATAGTCCTTGACAATAGAGACCAATAATTCTGATTTCATGTGATCATGGGGATGCTGCAGCATTTGTAAGTGTGACAGTCAGTTTTTCAGTGCCGTTGTAATGCTGTGAGTCAAGGACTACCTATAATTGGCTACCCAATGTTTGGTGGTGTGTGTGTGGGGATATATACATTTGTTTTATCGAATAACACTGGTAGCGCATATACTAAAATAATGTTCTTATGATCTGTTCAACTCTTAGAACTGCTTTGTGAAACGGGTTTCCAGGAAGCTCTTCAGGAAAGCCTCCCAGATTGCCAGGGGCATGAATGGACCCCCCTCTGGCTTCTGCGGTATTCAGTCATTGTTAAAAGCAGAGGGATTATCAAATCTAAGGGCTACATCTTGCAAGCTAAAAGGATCCCATCATTTTAACATTGATCTTGACAACTGGTTACTTCAGAGAGACCCTATCTCTACTTCATATTGAATCTAGTAGTTGTTTTTTAATTGACAAATTATCATAAAACCCAGATTACATATGGGATGGTACTTTTGAGCCCATTCTTTCAATTTCATTTACTTTCACATACTGTAGGGTGATCTGTGTTGAGAACAGCTGGCTCACCTATGCAATATTGTTTTTCCTTAAAATTTACTAATTTAGGGATATTGTTTGTAGTCATTGGAATATTTTAGTGACTAATATAAATTCAAAATCTAGCTAGCTATATTTTGATTGAAGTGTTTTTATTTGTAAGGCATAATTGACTTGGTATACTCTATGGCTGCTGAGCTGAGAGAAAACTAAACAAACCACATTTTGGTGGAATAAACAGGTGACTTAAAATATGTGAAATATTTAATAGAGTCATGAATTTATACTCAGTTGACTATGCCTCAAACTTACCAGAGTTTGACTAGCCATGCACAATTTTTGTTAAGTTTGTTGTTTTCTCTTGGCATATGTTCAAATGTTTTTAACTCAGAATTATATGACTCCAGTGAAGAGTAGAGTTAACTTTTTAAAAATTTGTTTTGCCGAAGTTAAAACATACTTACATTTTGAAAAAGATGTATATATAAATTTCAGCATTGCACTGAGTGTAGCTTCTCAGACATTTTTAGGAATTCTTAAAAACAACCAGAGGTGCAGATAAGTTACTTTGAAGTTTGTGGGTTCTTCAAAAGAAATTTAATCAATGCTCTTAAGCACTTAATTAAAAAAACTGCTGCAGTGAAATGAATATTTTAATTTAGATTATCTTTAAAGAGATTTGCTTATTGAGATTTCAGTAGTTCAACAATGTACATGTTTGCCATTTTAATGTGTATTTCTGTGTTATTAATGCACATATGAAAGTTTTGTAAGAGGTGCAAACTTTATCTGGATTTTAAGCTTTTAATTTATAAATGAAAATAAGCTTTACTAAATGTTTTATTATGTTATTCATATCATATTCACATACTTGGATCCATTCCAACAGGGAAACTTCTTATACTTTATATTAAAATAATTTTGCATTAGATGATTTAGCAGGTGGTGGTGTTTGGATTCCACAATATATTAAGCATGAAAAAGCATTCTTAATTCAAATTTCAGCCTTTACCTGGATCTAGATTCTGTTGAGCTCATTGAGGTGTTAATGAATTTTAATGCCATGAGGCCATGTTTTGGGTTAGTTGGGAGGAGTCCTTAAAAACTCAGTACATCAATTGAAATAAAATTTGTCTGACGTTCTGGAGTAAATTTTGATATGCTGCTTTAAATACACACACACACACATACACAGATAAAAAAGTTACTGAATATGCAAAAAACTACTGTTTTTGTAAAATTTGGAACTATTGTTTTTGTAAAATTTGAGTTGGAATATAAAATGCATTTAACTGTAGAAAGCAACTGTTTTCTGTAGTTTGTCAAGATGTTAAATTTCTGTAGCGAATGAATGTTTTATTAGTTTGCAGTTATGGATTAAAAGAAATCTTGATCTAAAAATGCAGATAACTGTTTGAATCTTAATCAGTTTGGGGGATGATTGGGGAGATTTTTAAAATCTAATTCTCCACTAGTCTTACATAAGGTCTGCTTGCTGAAAATTTCACATAAAATATAGTTTATTATTACTATCTTTGTAATCTGTTTTAAAGTATTTTGTTACCTCAAAAGAATGCAATCCACTGAAATAGTGAAAGCAGAACATTTTCTTTCCGGGTAGAACCTTTCCAGTTAAGTCTCATGGAATAGGTAAAATAAACAAACATTGTTTAATTTAAAATTAACTTTGTAATGGCTATGAAGTTACCATTTGACATTCAGGATGCAGCTGGTAATTTCTAAATCTTCTTTGTTAAGCTTTTTCCAGTAGTGCAAAAAGGATTTCTTTTTGAAGTAATGTTTTCCTTTAAACATCTATTGCCATTATACTGAAAAAAAAATATTACTCTATAACCCTTTCTTGACACATGATCTAGATTATTATTTCAGAACTAAGGAAAGTATATATATAGAGAGAGATGCACTTGCAGGGGAATAAAAATCCAAATTTGTGAGGTTTTTTTAAATTGCATTTATTATTTTATCTTTCTTTTAACCAAGCAAATAACTTAGAACAGTGCTTCTCAAACCTAAGTAAATTAGCCACAATCAAATATAAATGGGTTTTCTTTAGGTGATAACATATAGACCCTTTTACCCAATCACAACTGGGACATTTGAACTGTTCTACTTACATTGGGTAAAAAGGACTTTCTGATCAGCGATTTGGGTGGGGTAATAAGGAAAAAGTCTGTAGAGATTGACATGGTTGGACTTTTTGGACAATTGGACTTTGTCTTTCTTTGAAGACGTTTCACTTCTCATCCAAGAAGCTTCTTCAGCTCTGACAGGATCCCCACTATCTTGTCAGAGCTGAAGACCTTCTCAAACGAGAAGCAAAACGTCTTCAAATAAAAACCAAAAGTCCAGGACAATGAAGGAAAATTAATGTAGTTTGTCGAGCAAAATGTTTGGGAAGCATAATAATCTAAAACAGTTTGCCTTCCATGTTCAGATATAGGTAAAATTATATTTACATAGAGCGATGGGCACCTCCGTTGCCATTTTACCGTGCAAATTGAAAGGTTTGCCTGGGATTCCAGGAGTATTCCCAAACCCATTTCCCTCTGAGTGAACTTGGATTCAGAACGAGCAGCAATTGAACTAGTGAAGGCGATGAGATTGTAATCCAGATTATTGCTGCTCTCTACATATCAAACGCTAGCCTTGGGCCGAGGTGAGCGTACTTCTGAATAACATGAAATAAAAAGCATGAAGAATTGTGCCGCTTCCCCGCAGTCTTTGAATTGCTAATAACACCTAACTGCAATCCAGCTATGCTGATTTGAGACTGAGGTAGATTTTGCACATAAGACCTCGCACTTTTTTCTCTCTCTCTCGTCCTGGCTTCATGCCTTCGTGAACAGCTTTCCATCCACCAATAGTTTGCAGGCGTCACTGCCAAGAGCTGGGCGGAGGCAGGGCAGGAAGTTTTTCGGACGGACCTCTTTCTGAGTGGCAAAGCCACCTGGAAGCGAATCCGGAGCAATCGCTTCCTTCTGCACACGCGGGAAAGATGATGGCCACCAGGAGGGTAACGCGGAGGAGCGCGTCGATGGCGGAATGCCCAGCTACGGAGGTGAGAGGAGGAAAGAGAGAGAGAGAGAGGCGCGGGCGGGGGGAGAGCTCTCCCCCCACCCGCCTCCGAGCACATCTCCGTCGGGTTCGGCCAGCGCACGCGCTTGGAGTTCGGAACGCGCTCGGCCATTCCATTCCCGAAGGTTCTCGCCGCGCGCGTTGCGTCTCTGCGCTTGTCTGGGTCGAGTTAAAAAGAGCCGGACTGGAGAGCTGAAGGCGTCGGCGAGCCGGGGAGGTTGTGGGGCGCTTGGGAGACCGCGGTGTGTCTGTGCTTGCATTGACAGGGGACGCAAATGCTGAGGAGTGAACCTTTACGTCGGCTGAGGAAAAAGGAGGGCAGGGGCAAGCTTCGAAATGAGCCGCCTCGGTTTGTGACGGCGGTTTTTGGTTTTGGTTTGTTAGAAGCTCATTTTTTGGTTTGGGCAAAAAGGTGGGGCGACAGCACTTAATAGCCGCCGTTTTCTGACCTGGTGGAAATCCTTGAGGTCATAATCCTAATCCTTAAACCTAAGGAATAAGTACCTTTATTCCTTTTGGAATATAATCAAGGTGGGGCTGTGATCTTGACTTGCGTCTTGGACGAAGCAGTCAGATCTACGGAGCAATGCGTTGGACTCCTCTGCAGTATTGATATTCACATTTTTTCTAATTTGAATGTTGTCCAGAAATCATTCCCCCCCCCCCCCCCACCCCAACTATGAGAATTGTTTCTATGGGAATCTTCAAAGCATACCAAAGAAATGGGAAATAATAGTAGTCTTCCATGGATGTAACAGTGTTTATAAGATAAGATAACCTTTATGGTCATTTTTTTTTTCTGTGAAAACATTGGCACACATTAAAAATGAAAATTCTGGTGTCAGTTTTCAAGAGAAAATGTCTGTATGTACATTATATAATAATGTTTTGCCAAGAAGCATGAAAATGTTTTCCCCCCCTTTGTTCCTTTTCTGTCTGCCTTTCTCCCCTTAGCCACAAAATCTATGTATAGGTTTGTCTCTACTTTCAATTAACTTATTTTGTGGTGTATTTTTGAATTGGAGGACTGATTGATCATCTGTTTTCTCTCCCTCTTTCACAGGTTCTCTTTCTTAGAAACCACACTGGTAAAATTCAGAGGGCACGGGGGCTTCTGAAATGTTTTTCTATCATACTGCATGTTTTCACCAGTACAATAGTTATCTGCTTCACGTCTCACCTATTTATCCTTCTGTGATGAATCAGTTTATCAGAGCCGATAGCAGACATGGTCATTTATCCATGCAATTCAGAACTAGGTAGAGAGATTAATCATTGGGCATTTTTCTCATTGCAAAAATTGGATTAGTAAAAGTTCCCCTCTTTAAGTTCTTTTGGGGAGGGCGGTTGGCTTGGGATATAACATTGACACATCTCTTCTTTTATTTTTCCTTAATTTTTCTTCCTCTGCAAATGAATTATTATTTTCTTAGCCAAGTAACCTTTTTCTTCAGTACAAAATAGTGATTTAATAATCTGCTGGAAGTGTTAGAGGAGATAGAGGAGTATTCTCTACCTTGTTCTGGCAAGGAATGCAGAATAGCAAATGAAACGCTTAGATTATGTTTGGAAAATTGAGTAGGCAACCAAATTTATTTACCTTATCTGTGGCAACGCCTGTTGGACCATACCCCATAAGCTACGCTAGGCACAGGGAATGTCTTATTACAAGCTATGAAGTAGGAGAAAAATAGTTAATACTGAAAAAGTGTTAACCTTGACTTAATGTTTTCGGTCCAACAGTATAAAATCTACAGTGCAAGTATGTCAGAAACTAGTACTGTTCATAAAGAAGCTGACACATAGAAAATCAGCTTTGTGATGGCCAAAGTTAATTAATTAATGGTTAATTGATTAATAGTTCAGAATTTCTGAGTTTCTCATGAAGCATGCATTTATTTATGTGTTTCTTTTTCTTTCTTTTTGCTTGTTTCCTGACATTCTTTTCATTCTTTCAGCAGATTGCAGTGGTAGAGAGCCCATCTATGAGGATTACTAGAAGCAGAATAAAAATGAATTCCTATACACCAGTCATTTCTGAATCCCAGAATGCAGAGATGAAAGCTTCTGAAACAAAATTGGATGCAGAAAAGTCTTCAGAAGCATGCACTGTCTTGAGTAAAGATAAAGCTGAGCCCCTGGCAGAATCTCAAGTCGATGGCGATGTTTCAGAAGCAGAATCAGCCTGTTCTTCTGTGTCTGGTCTTCAAACACCATTATTTATACGAATAACCAGAAGGCGGAAAATTGTAATTCCTTGTAGCCCAGAGACTTCGGCTAAAAACAGGCCGAGCAAAAAAAATGTTACACATGAAAGTAGTAATTGTGAAGACCATGATATTTCTGAAGCAGAGTCATGTTCTTCTGTTGTATCTGGAACAAGGACCTCAAAAGCCATGAGAAAGTCCAGGTGCCGACAGGTCAAGGGTAATGTGTCACCAGTGTGTGAGGTACAAGATGAAGAGGTTTCTGATGCTGAATCGTGGTGCTCAGGTGTTTCCTATGAACAGTCTGCCCCATTTAAACGAGTGACCAGGAGTATGCAGCTGAAATTGCAAGCAGAACCAACATCCCAGGCTGAAAGAAAAAGCAATGCATTAAGAGAGGATACGGAAACACCCGATTGTATAATTACATCTGAAACAATAGTAATCTCTGATTCGGAAGAATCCACCGTTTCTGATTTCAATGCCAAAGAATCACCTTGTCTTTCTTCAAACTGGATAAAAGAGCATCTTAGCCCCCAAAAAACAAAGTGTCTTCCTGAATCTGTTGCCAGCAATGATCTGGATCTGATTTTCTCAAGCAGTAATGAGGAAGTAACAAGGGAAGATAATAAAAACTTGCCTGAGCAAGAGATACTAAAGAACAATGATGATGAATTGGAACATTCCGTTTCAAAAGAAACAGCAGCGGATATAATTGCAATAGTTCAGAGTCCAGACGAAATGCATGGTCAATCTTCAGAAAAACCCATGCAGGTATCTGAAAATCAGTTGCCTTCAGAGAATTCAAAGAGATCTCCATGTGATCTAGAAAACCTTGAAAAATCTAATGAGTCATCAGGAAAAGCAACAGTGAATAAAAACAAGAGCTTAACACCTGAAAATGTTAGACAGAGCTGTTTACACAAACAAGAAGAAATAATAGATAGTGACGACATTTCCAAAGTAGGAAGCCCGACCAACAAAACGATCACATCTCTAATTGTTAACAGTGATGACTGCAGACCTTCGGTTTCAAGCGTAGATAGTGATGGAAACCTAGAGGAGGTAATTGCTGAATCCTCTTCATGTGCAACCAAAGGCAGAGAAGATAAGAAAGACCTCTTTGTGTCTCTTACGAGTGAGGAATCTGAAAATAATAATTTAGAAAAACTGAAAAACAGCGAAATAGGCACTGGATACGATGAAGGAAGTAGTGAAAGTCCCTTGAGAGAAAACCAGTCAAATAATCAAGAGATGTTTGTCATTGATAAAACCCCTGGTATAGATTCTCACAAAGATTATTATTTTGAGGAAAAACAAAGCGAAGATTCATCAGAAGTGGAAGAAAGTGAAGAAGAGTTCATAGATGAGGACGAAGATGAATTAAATGCAAACACAGGATTGTAAGTTCTTTGAAGGGACTTTATATGCTTAGTAAATGGCTTGGTTGGATTAGTTAGGTTTTGTGCTAAGGTATAGTGGGTACAAAACCTCTGGGTTCTGAAGACTCAAGTTCCTACCACAAAAAGGCAAGTTGGCTACCTTAAGGTTTTAGAAGTGTTTCTCTAACTTCTAAGAGCCATTTGCATCTGATTATGAATTTGGCAAAGAATAAGATAAAGTATTTGATAAAACTTATGTGAAAATTCATAAGTCAAATATTTAGTCACATTAATAAGGCTTAGTTGGCTGGCTTCATACTGAATCTAAACTGCTTACAAACCACGGGCAGGATTGCAACATACTAAACCAAATCCAAACAAACCACGTTCTGTTAACAGCATGGGACACAGCTTTATTTGTGATTTGTTTGGCTTTGGTTTGGTGTGATGTATAATATTAGTCACTGGGTATAAAATGGTTCAAAGAATTGAGGCTTTTTTTTACATGTTTAATTCCCCTGTAAAGGAGTTAGTGGATATGTAAACATAAGTAAACAGTTTTGAAATTTGTTAATGTTTAATTAAAAAATATTTTCTGTAATGTGCTTATGATAGACAAATATTGTTTGTGTTGATTGGATTATATATCAGTATTTTTAGGTAACCAGTTCTTTCTCTTCTAGAGTATCATTTTCAAGCAGTATTGATCCTGGACTAAACATTAAACAGTTTGGAGGTTTATATATTAATTTTGACTCTGGAAAGCAGAAACCTGGATCCCATAACGTTCCACCACTGAAAGAGAAAAAAACAGATGAGGTAATTGCCAAAAGATAGCAATTAAATTGAAAACTAGAATTAGTAAGTCCTAAATGACATTCTAGCAGCATTGTAAATACCTGGAGTATTTAAAAAGCAAATATTTTGTAAGATCTTTTGTAAAAAAAATTTCTTTTGGCCACAAGTCGGCGCATTTATATGATTTTTAAAAAAATATTTAATTTATATACTTATATTTAATTAATACCTTGTGACGCTTAGTGGTTCACATCAAGTACACCATGCAACAAAAAACCTGTTCCCAGTAAATTAAATTAAATTTAATATTAAATATTACTGTTTGTAAGCCACCCAGAATCCCCTTATTGGTGAGAGGGGCAGCATATCAATTGAATAAATAAATAAAATATTAAGATTAAGTAATACCAATTAAATTAAAATAGCACAGTGCAACCTTTAGGATAATTCAGATTTTATTCATTTCTGGTAAGACACTTAATGATGGCATCAATCTTGCCTCTAAACAATGGGTGTCCAACCTTTCGCCTTCCTTGGGCCACAATGAGTGAAGAATTGCCTTGGGCTGCAAATGAAATATATAATAAAAGTGATATCTGTAAATAACAAGCTTTTCTTTATTGTGGAGCTGCATGTGGCCCATGGTCTGCAGGTTGGACATGCCTCTCTAAGGGCTGGGAAAAGCAACAGCTGCAGGCCTTGGTCTTCCTTACTTCCTGGAAATAGCATACTGCTAACAGATGCTTAAGGAGGGTCAAATCTATCCAGAAAAGGCAATGCTGAAGCTACTTGGATGCTAAGGCATGGTTAAATTCTTAGTAGTTCCAACTTCCTTGTATATACCCATCCCCTTCAAAATGACGACACCACTGCTTAATATATTCTTTAATTTTCTAATATCGATCCTTGAGCATTTTTTAGGGATCAAGTGCAGTTGTCCATACTTAGCGACACTCTCCACATCAGATTCCATTTATGCTGCTTTATTGACATGTCAGTACATGAGTGGCTATTCCAGCACTGCTTATTAACTGAGTTTGCCAGGCAGTCATCTAAGTATTTCCTGATAAGAGTATCTTGAAAATCTCAGCTTGGAAGCAACTTTTCCAGAACTACTTGAGTGTTGGGTCATTTTACTAAGTCCACGTTTTCCAAGAGGTCTTTACAGTCCTGTTTGCATTGTAAGTGTAGCTGTGGCCTGGCTTAATCAAATATCTCTCGGTAGCTTTTGCAGAAGAGTATTATAACTCCCGATTTTGAGAAAAAGGAATGTGTTCCACCTTTAAGAGAATCAATCCATCAGTTAAAGAAGCAACGTAGGGTAAGTGAAATGCCATTGCGGTATTGATCATGGTGTAGGGTCTCCTGCTTGGGTGGGTGGGGGGGGGGGGGTTGTACTAGAAGATCTAAAAGGTCCCTTCCAATTCTGTTAATCTGACACCCAATTAAGGCCATATTTAAAGTCTGCCTTTAAAAAATTCTCTGCAAGGGTGCGTAGCTCCTGGCTTATTCCTCACTTTTTACTAGCTTCATCAATAGTTATAAAATGGGATGATAACATATGATCCCCTATGCTTTGTGGCCTTTTGGAATGAAAATGAAATATAATAGAAATAAATGTGCTGCCACATTCTGGACCAGTTGTAGCTTTCCAAGTTGGTCTTCAAGGGTAGCCCCATGTAATCCAAACAAAGAGTTACTTCTCCCTACGAAGTTGCTTCTCATGAATTTGCTTTCAGAAAAGCTGTTGGAAATAAAAAGTCCCCTTTGTAAATACATTGGGATACAGTATGTGACAATATCTCTTGACTTCAAAGTACAAGTAGTCCCCAATTTACACCCACGATTGAGCCCAAATTGTCTGTTGCTAAGCGAAACGTTAAGTGAATTTTGCCCCGTTTTATGACCTTTCTTGCTACAATTATTAAGTGAATCACTGCAGTTGTTAAGTTAGTCACACAGTTGTTAAATGAATCAGGCTTTCCCATTGATTTTGCTTGTCAGAAGGTCACAAAAGATGAATCGTGTGACTCCGGGACACTGCAACCCTCATAAATACAAGTCAGTTGCCAAGCATCCAAATTTTGTGAAGAATGGTCAGTCTCCTTTTTCAGTGTCATTGTAACTTTGATCATTAAATGAATTGTTGTAAGTCAAGCACTACCTGTAACATGACATCAGGATTTCCTTGGCAGAATTAATCCATTTAGACCATTCAGATAGAAACAGCTCGTTAAAGTAGACTTTAAAGTTGTACAAATATTTTAAATACCTTGAAAATTATCCTAATGTAAAGCTAAAAGGCTCACGTTGCAGGAAGGGAGGGTGGGTATTGCCCTCTTCAATGCTGGATTATAAAATTTGATCTCTGTCCACTGGTTATGGCGTAAGGATTGAATAAACCTGACACATTTTGAAAGAATGTTTGTAACTTTTTTCCAAAATAGAAAGACCGAGCAAAAACAACTGGTGATAGTTGGTTTGGTATGAAAGCTCCAGAAATCACAGAGGAATTGAAAAATGACCTTAAGGCTTTGCAGATGAGAGCTGCCATAGATCCCAAACGGTTCTACAAAAAGAATGATAGGAAAGGTCTTCCCAAATATTTTCAGGTAAGAATGTTGATGGTGTTTAGTGCTTTGGATATAAGGTTTTTTTTTTTTTTAAAGTTCAGTATTCATTACACATCAAATTACATATCAGGCTTGCTAAAGATAAACACATTGATTATGAAGATGTTTCTGTGAAACCAAGCCAACTACATTGGGTAACGTGGCTTGCGATCCACAGAATTAAAGTCTTTTAACCAATTACTACAATTTTAACCATTGCTTAAGTTAGTAATAATACTTGTGGCAATTATAAACAAACTGCATAAAAATAACTTTTTTTCTTACAAAGTTTCTTACATAAAAACGTAAGTTCTGATGTTTACTTTTGCTATGAAAATCTCTTGGAAATAACTTTACAAGAGCTTGGAAGATTTATCATTGTTTAATTTTTTGTTAATTGTTCATCTGCTTACTAGCTTATATTTGCTGCGCAGCCTCTGCTGCTTCAGTAATTCCTTGCGTGCATGTTTCACTTTTTGAAGACAGCACATGGATTGCATCTTGTTCTGTAGTTGATGGAGAAGCAGAGAGTGTGACAGGGATCTCAAACCGGTGGCCAGTGGGCTGGATGCATCACGTGCACACGCACACCCCCAGCTCCGTGAAGGGAAAAAAATGTCATGATACATCATACAAGAGATGTATAAGAGAAATAAGAGCATTGTTTTCTTTAATCAGTTTTTCCATTTTACTTGCTGAAAATATGTTCTGGGGAGTTGAGAGACGCTCCAAAATACTGTAAGTGGCAGGTCAGGGGACCTCAAGAGGAAGGTAGAATGGACACACACACACACCGTCATCATCTTCCCCTGAAGATTATTTTTACAAAATATTGTCAACATGTTTAAAAGTATGCTAGATTTATGAATCACTACTTTAGCTAATGCTACTTAGAACTGGCTCATTCTCTTCATTTCTGTCTAGACATTTTCTTGGAATGTTAAGTTCTTTGCTGTTCTTTGTATTTTTGAACTTTGTAGAGTAAGAATTCTTTTTGATATCGTGATACATTACCAGTTTCTATATTTTCTTGTTGGTTTTTTTCCCTTCTCAGCAGTAAATGAGGAATTCCTGGCCTCTAGATTTCCACTGTAAACTCTTGTTTGATTCCTTACCCCATTTTTTTTCTTCTGTAATATTGCTGAAATTGTTTTCGGTCAGTTGGGCTGATTTAAGTTTCTGTACAGGTTGTCCTCAACTTACGACCACAATTGAGCCCAAAATTTATGTGGCTGTGAGACGCGTATTATGTGAATTTTGCCCCATTTTAAGAACTACCTTGCCACAGTTGCTAAATGAATCTGGATTCCCCATTGATTTTGCTTGTCAGAGGTTGAAAAAAGGGATCCCATGTCCCTGGGAAACTGCAGTGGTCATAAATATGAGTCAGTTGCCAAGCATCTGAATTTTGATCATGTGACCTTGGGGATGTTGCTGTAGTCATAAGTGTGAAAAACAGTCATAAGTCACTTTTTTTCTGTGCTGTTACAACTTTGAATGGTCACTAAATGAACTGTTGTAAGTCAAGGACTACCTGTATACTAAAAGGAAAGTATGAGCACTCCAAATGAATTCAGTATTAATAAATGGGATCCTTAGATTAGCTTTCAATCTCCTCTTTAAATAAAAACAAATTCATCTTGCATTTTCTTTTTCAGGTTGGAACTATTATGGATTCTCCAGCAGATTTCTATCATGCTCGTATTCCCAAGAAAGAGAGAAAGAAAACGATTGTGGATGAACTTCTAGCAGATTCAGAGTTTAGACGGTATTTACAATTTCACTTTAATGTAGTCACTTGGGTGTTGTAAAACAACGTGTTTCGTTGCTGTTAGGTATAGCTGAATGAGTTCCTCTATCCTGTGTGATGCAGTTCATCCCATATGGGAGGCCTTGTAGTGTGTTGCAGTGCCTCTTAAAAGGCATCACTGGGTTATAAGATTTGGACTTGGGGGAGGTTTCCATTGCAGTACTTAGATTAAAAAATGCCTTCCTGGAGCACGATGGTTGTCTACCTGTCTTCTTAATTTTAAATGAGCTGTCATCCTCTTGATTTCCCTTTCATTTGAAATACGTTGACCATTTTTTGTTCTTAAGTTATTTGCTGTCTTTTGTGATTTCTGGATTGTTTTTATTATTTATATACTGTTTTGAATATATTTGTTTAAAGGAAAGAGAACAGAAGGACACTCACACGCAAAAAAACAAAACAAATCCTTATCATTCAGAGGGTGTGTAGGTGGTGTTAAGGATACCAGGCCTTCTTTTATGGCAACAATTTAAGATAATCTTTTATTCCGCCTTTATTTTATTTTCTTGCTAGGCTTAATAACCCACTCCAGTCATAAAAGCCTCTCGGTGATGCATAAACCATAATTGGAATGAAAATAGGAACATTTTTAAAAAATCCAAAATGCCCTACGTAACGATGCCAACTCAGATATAAATATTCCTGTGCTGGGCGGGTCCAATATTCTATCCAAACCCCCAAATCTGTTTTTATAGGACTATGGGAGATGATCTTATTTCTGAATGAACTTTGTTCGAGACACGGGGGCAGTGATTGAAATTTGAGATGGCATAGCTGGGACTTAGATAGGCCCAGTTTTTCAGCAACTGCACCATTTCTTTGAGATAGCCTCCCGGTGAACATCTCATCGTGTCTACCAGAAGCTGTTCAAAAGAGGTTTTCTAGGGTCCTTGGCTCCACCTTATTTGATTAATGATGTTTTCATTAGTTGGAGACCTTTAATTTGTATACTTTTTTGATATTATTTCTTATATAACTGTTAGCAAATATTCCTTAAGTTAAAAGCAGAGGCCTTGCCACCTATGAGCTTGAGACACAAGTAATATTCTCAGTAGCATGCCAGTAGGTGACCCCAAATATTATCTCTCAATGCTCTAGCCATGTAGCAATAGCACTTAAGACTTATATACCGCTTTACAGTGCTTTATAGCCCTCCCTAAGCAGTTTACAGCATCATCATATTGCCCCCAACAGTCTGGGTCCTCATTTTATCCACCTCGGAAGGATGATTCAACCTTGAGCCTGGTGAGATTCGAATTGCCAAATTGCAGGCAGCCGGTTGTCAGCAGAGGTAGTGTGCAGTACTGCACTCTAACCACTGCGCCACCGAGACTCTAGATCAGTGGTTCCCAAACTTTTTCGGTCCACTGCCCCCTTGGTGCTACAAAGTCATCCTCGGTGCCCCCCACCCAGGGGTGGGATTCAAATTTCTGTGGGTGTGGCCTAATTTGAGGGCGTGGTTTGAGAGGGAGAGAGAGGTTGGATCAGATCTCTCTCTCTCTCTCTCTCTCTCTCTCTCTCTCTCTCTCTGAGAGAGGGAAAGAGAGAGAGAAGAGAAAGAGAAAGAGAGGAAGAAAATAAAGAGAAAAGGGAAAGAAAGAAAAAGGGACAAAGGCAGGAGGGTGTTGGAAGGAAGGGACAGAAAGAAAAAGAAATAAAGGAGGGAGGAGAAAGATAATGAGATGTCTATTCTAGTCCAATCACCTGCTCCAGCAGGGTTAGAAGGGAGTGTGTGTGTGTGTGTGTGTGTGTGTGTGTGTGTGTGTGTGTGTGTTCTCGTAATTTACCAATACATTTTGGTTTTGCCTTCTTCAGAATTGGCACTGTAATACATTGGGGAAAAATAATTTTTAGGGTGGAGATCTGGTCCAATGGATCCTGTTTAAAGCCTCAACAAAATGTGAGAATTTCCTGATAGTCTTGACCATGTTTCAATGTGCTGGCAAAGATGTTTCAGTGTGGAAAAGGGCCTCAGTCTAAACTAGGCCTCATTCAGTCTGATGCATCAGGTCTCTCTCTTTCTCTCTCTCCCTCCGTCCTTCCCTTCCTCCCTCTCAGACTGGCTTTGCTCTACTTGCCCGATGTGCCTGCGGGGCCGGCACTTCGAACATTGATGGATGGATGGATGGAAAGAGAGAGAGAGAGAGAGGGAGGCAGGCAAACAGACAGACCTTTTGGATGGAGGGATGGAAGGACAGACAGAATGAGACAGCGGCGGCACTTTGGGAAATCAGTGGCAGCGGCTTTTCCAACGTGCTGCCGCATTTGAGACACTGGTTCTGGAGCATTACTATAGTCAATGGGTGAACCTGCAGGGCCAGCGCCTCGAACACCCCCCCGCCGCCTCTTAGCATCCCCAAGGGGGCCGGCAGAGGGGGGATAAGAGGCGGCAGGGGGGCGTTCGAGGCGCCGGCTCTGCAGGTTCACCCATTGACTAGCACTGCTCCGGAGCCAGCGCCTCCAATGCAGAAGCGGTAGCATGTTACATGCCACCATGGCCGCGTTTGATGCACCGCCCCCCTGCCGCCTCTTAGCGCCCCTCTGCTGGCCCCCTTGGGGATGCTAAGAGGTGGATGTGGGGCATTCGAGGCGCCAGCCCTGCAGGTTCACCCATTGACTGTAGCACCGCTCCAGAGCTGGTGCCTCAATGGGTGAAATTACAGGGCTGGCTGGTGCCTTGAACGCCCCCCTGCCACCTCTTAGTGCCCCACTGCTGGCCCCCTTGGGACACTAAGAGAGGTGGCAGGGGGACGGTGCATTGAACGCTGCCACGGCAGCACATAACATGCCACCACTTCCGCATTGGAGGCACTGGCTCTGGAGTGGTGCTACAGTCAATGGGTGAACCTGCAGGGCCAGCACCTTGAATGCCCCCCTGCCGCTTCTTAGCATCCCCAAGGGGGCCAGCAGAGGGGCGCTAAGAGGCGGCAGGGGGGTGGTGCATGGAACACGGCTGTGGCGGCATGTAATGTGCCACCGCTTCCGCATTGGAGGTGCCACCTCTGGAGCAGTGCTAGTTAATGGGTGAACCTGCAGGGCTGGCACCTCGAATGCCCCCTTGCCGCCTCTTAGCGCCTCCCTGCCAGCCCCCTTGCCTCTTAGTGACCCCCTAAGGCATCCCACCGCCCCCCAGGGGGCAGTACCACCCACTTTGGGAACCACTGCTCTAGATAATCTTGCACTAATAATTAGTTGCAGTGACCTTGTTGGATTGTAGTAAAAATCTGATATAGTATCTAGTTTCTGACAGTAGTCAGCTAAGAAACATACAGGTAGTCCTCAACTTACAACAGTTTATTTAGTGATCATTCGAAGTTACAATGGCACTGAAAAAAAATGACAATTTTTCACATTTATGACCACTGCAGCATCTCCATAACCACGTGATTTACATTTGTATGCCAGACCACTGGTTCATATATAACAACTGCAGTGATTTACTTAACAAATGTGGCAAGAAAAGTCCTAAAATGGGACAAAACTCATTTAACAAATTTGTCAATTAGCAACATAAATTTTGGGGTCAATTGTGGTCATAAGTAGAGGGCTACCTGTACATGGATAGCTTAACTAAAAGGTGGGTTGATTGATGTGTTCTTTTCATTCTAGATTTTAGATGCACTCTTATTTAGTAATAATTGGATGGGCGGAGAGGTTTGGATTCTGTGGTTGCATTCATTCTTCACAAAAATTGTTTCTCTTATTCAGGTACAATAAAAGGAAGTATCGAGACATAATTGCTGAGAAAGAGGCCCTTGCAGCAGGAAAGAAGAATCGGAAGAAGAAGAAATTTCACAAATAGATTTTGACGGCAAAATGCTTGAACTTAGTTTTTAATGGTGAATTTATAAGTTGAAATTTTGCACAAATGATCAGCTAAGCTTGATCCCATTAACAGTATAGGTATAGGGCTTTTTCCGATAAGATTTTGGAACTGAATGTGAAACCCTGTGTTACATATAGATAAAAATAAACAGCATAGAGGATGGAAGAAACAGTCTAGTTTAAAATCACACTCAATTTAAAGGAAAACGGCAGTGAGGGAAACCTTAAAAAAAAATCATACAAGACTATATTCAAAATGTGGCTGCTGTTAGAAATATTCTCCTTGTATATCTATTAAAATATTTTGTACGAATTAATAGGCTGTCTTTAATAGATAACATGTTTTCCCGAAAATAAGACCCAACCAGAAAGTAAGCCCTAGCATGATTTATCAAAATGCTCATAAGACCTACCCGTCATACGATTGCCAGCCCTTGGGGATGGGAGTGGCTAGCAGAGGCCGTGAGTGTGTGGTGGGCCACTGGCTTCTGGCGGCAGCCATAGCACTCCGGTTGTGCACCCTGCACCCATAGCTGAGTGCGAGTGCTGCAACCACCAGCCTGGCCCTCCAAGCAGCAGGCGGAGGCAGAGGGGCAGAGCCGGGAGGCGAGTCCCATCTGCCTCTTGGGGATGGGGGCTCCCTTTCCATTTGCCGGGGCTATCATGGGTGGGGCAGCAGGCTTGTCCTTTGTGTATGGCGGAGCTGGAGGAGGATGTTTGGTGGCAGGGGCTTAGCACACGGGCTGCAGTGTGGTGCCACCCTGCCAACTGCCTCGCCTCACAGTAGAAGCACCAACAGCAGGCAGAGGCACAGGGGAGAGGCGTTTAGAATTTCTTTTATATTTTATATTATAACCTAATTGAAAAAGGAATTAATGGAATTCAAGAGGGGTTGGACTATTTGTGGGAACATAATGACTCCTGGCTAATTCCTCTCTTGATTCCCCCTCCAGGCTCTGCCTATTTTTCTACACTTCCTCTGAAATTCATTCTGCTTCTACTTTACTGGTATTTTGAAGATGGCACGTGAATTGCATCTTGTTCTGTAGTTGATGGAGAAGCACTAACATGGCAGAGAAATAAGGGCATTGATTTTCATTAATCAGTTTTTCCATTTGTACCTGCTTCCAACTGTTGTCCAAGGCTTTTTTTTTAACATGCTATCCAATGGGCTGATGACCACTGGGATCACCACTTAAATACACATAAGTATTTTAATGATAAATTATATATGAATGAAGGCGAATATACATATCCCAGGATAATGTTGTAGGATCTAATCTGGGTGGGGGTCATCAGGACCAGAGGTTTGTCTTCCGAGCTTTCGGAGTTATGCCGGAGCCCATCTTCAGCTAACTTCTCTGAAGATAGAGGGCTAGAAAGAAGTTCCCTGAACATGGGCTTCAGCATGAGTCTGAAAGCTGGGAAGACAAAACCTCTGGTCTCTGACAGACCCAGATTGGATCCTGCATAAATTATACAAAACTATAAAACAGTATAAATAATTACAAATAATAAAATGTTTTCTTCCGCAACTAAAAAAAATGCCCCTTCTGTCATGATTTTATTTTTAAAATACTTCAATTAACAAAAATAGGACGTTGCATATGGCAGATGTGGCAAACTCAAGCCTGTGGACCGCGGGGTGCTTAAATCTGGGCCGTGGGGTCAGCCTGGAAATATCAAAGGACTGGGCCGCAGTACCTCTGCCGGCCAAAACAGGTTGTGGGGGGGAGCCGTTTTCACCTTCCCTGGCCTGCAGCACTCTGCTGGCCAGAAATGGGCTGTGCAGAGGCCCCCATGTGGCCCATTTTTGGCCTCCGGCACTGCCAGCCAAAAACAGGCAGCACAGAGGCCCGTTTTCAGCCAGCAAAGTGCTGCAGGAGACATCCGTCCCATCCCCCACTTCCTCCCCGTGCCCTCCAGCCTTTGGAGAACTACAATGCTGATCGGGCCCTCGAAATCCAGTTTGACACCCCTGGCCTATGGCATAATGTGCTGTAACTCTAGCATTGTCTTTAATAAACCATCTGAAACTACAACGGCCATCTTAGAATACAGGGCACTTTGCTTGGTAGTGTGTTCATCTGGGAAGACACTCAGCCTTACTTATTCATTTATTTGCAGTAATAAGTTATTCCCCCACATTCCTCATAATTGTTTATGAATGTAGATCTTCACTTTTGAAACCGGAGGGTCTAGTCCAGCCCAGCAATATGGCTGAAGTATATAGGTAGTCATTTATCTTAAGTTCATCTGATGACTTACGTTTGTCATGCTTATGACCATTGCAGCCTCACCATGGTCACGTAATCAAAATTCAGATGCTTGGCAACTGACTCATATTTATGATGGGTTGCAGTGTCCCAGGCTCACATGATCAACTTTTGCGACTTTACACCAACCAAAGTCAATCAGGAATTCAGATTCACTTAACCAGGTTACTAACTTAATAATGGAAGTGATTCACTTAACAACTGTGGCAAGAAAGGGCCATTAGAGTGGGACAAAGCTCACAGCAACAGAAATTTTGGGTTCACTTGTGGTCGTAAGTTGAGGACGACCTGTGCTTTCTTACCCGGCATGAGGAGTCTAAGCTGTCATTATATAGTCGATCCCCTTTTTATGACCTTGTAGTCTCTTGTGGGGGGAGAGTCGGGGCGACTGGATACTATTGTGAAATAAACATTGCCTTTCAATCAAACATCAAATTCTGTCTCAGGCTAAATACAAACTAAATAGTCAAGACCTTGTTGAGGAGCCAAACTTTGTCAAAGACCTTGGAGTACTCATCTCAAATGACCTAAGTGTTAGAGCCCACTGTAACTACATAGCCAAAAAAGCATTAAGAGTTGTTAATCTAATCCTACGTAGCTTTTTCTCTGGTAATATCACACTACTAACTACAGCATACAAAACATTTGCTAGACCAATACTCAAATACAGCTTATCAGTCTGGAACCCACATTACGTATCTGATATTAACACAGTTGAGAAAGTCCAGAAATATTTCACAAAAAGCTCTCTACTCCTCCACTTGTTGCAGAATACCTTATGCCACCAGACTTGAAATTCTGGACCTAAAAAATCTAGAACTATGCCACCTCCGGTATAGTATATATAGTATATATAGTATAGTATAGATAGTATATAAAATACATTGCAATGTCCTACCTGTCAATGAAAACTTCAGCTTCATTCATAACAACACAAGAGCACACAATAGATACAAACTCAAGGTTAATCTCACCAAACTTGATTGCAAGAAATACCACTTCAGCAACAGAGTGGTCAGTGTCTGGGATACTCTACCTGACTCTGTGGTTCCTTCCCCAAACCCCAAAACTTTAACCTTAGACTGTCTACTATTGACCCTTTCCTAAGAGGTCTGTAGTGGGGGCGTGCATAAGCGTACCAATCGTGCCTACTGTCCCTGTCCTATTGTTTCTTTATTTTTCTTGTATCTATCTCATGTATTCAAAACTATATTTATTGTTATATTCTTATTATTCAAAGCCAAATAACCTCACACGAAATGGTCAAATCTTGTAAAAAAAATCTTGAATGATTGGGATAAAATATTTGATGAATGCTTGGTGGCTCAACAGCTCAGGCACAGGACGAATTGCGAGGCGTATTTCAGAGCGGGACCGGAATAAATCGCTGCACCGACGCTGGAATTTGGCGTTACTGAAAGCCTTCAAGGAAGGCAACACTAACAAGCGCTGCCTGCACTGTTATCACACCTGTCAGCGGCTAGACTGGCGCCATTCTTTCCAGACCACGTTGTCATTTAGACTTCAACTCCCATAATGCCTTCAGGGGGGCGTGTCAGCTAAGGAATTCCGGAAGTTGAAGTCCACGCCTCTTCAAAGTTGTTGAGGTTGAGAAGCGCCGCTCTGGCCCTCCTGGGTCCCCCACCTCGGAGGCCCTGGCGAGCCCGATCCGTCAATCAGGGTCGTCCTTCCCGCCTAGACCCGCCCCCTCCGGCATTTCCCCGCCTCTCAGGCCCGAGCCGCCTCCTTTGTCGAGTCACCAGCCAGGCGCGCGACGAGGGAAAGAGAAGAGCGGCCTCGCAAAGGGATGGGGTTGAGGGGGAAAGTTCAACGTCGCGCTTTGCAAGCAATTAAAAATCGGCCCCTTTTCGGCGACTCGGCAAATAATTGACTCTGGGTAATCCAGGAAGCACTTTTAAAAATAAGAGGAAGGTAAATAAAATGGGGGTTCCCGACTCCGCCGGGACTCGAACCCGGAACCTTTGAATGTCTTCACCCTCTAGAAGTCCAATGCGCTATCCATTGCGCCACGGAGCCACCTGTTGGATTCTTGGCACATTTGCTATACGACTTCAGAGATCGACTTTCGCCCCGGTTCAGGAGCAGAAGAGATCCTTCCAAGACCCGATTTTAGAGTTGCCAGCGCGGCTCTTTACAGATTTCCGAGTCGCTTCCGGCAAAAGCTGCTTATTCCCGCCGGTGTCCGGCTCTTTCTCTCATTTCTCAGCCGCTTTAATTCGAGTGGCGTTTTCAAGCCTGTTTGCGACCTTTTAAAAGAAGCGAGGATTATTTCCATAGAGGGCGGGACTGAAATTGAGAGGTTGCATTCACACAAATCGGGGCTCAGCGTGTTGTGTGAACGCGCCCTGTAAGAACAGGAGGGTGTAAATCCTGTGCAAGTTCAGCTGGGAATAAGCACGCACCGTTGCATTGAGAGGTAAAACTATATAAAGAGCCAGCATCTTTAATAGACCGAATTAAGATTTACAGACAGTTGCAAGGTTTTGAATTTCCAATCGTTTTTCGAATGTTAGCTGATCATTGCTATCAAGTCATTTTCGACTCCTGGTGATCAGATAGATTTTTCTCCATGTTGATCTATCCCTGACCTGGTCCTTCATCTCTTCCAATAATGCCACTCATCATGCATTCATCGCCATTGTCCACCCAGCCCATCCATCTTGTTTCTTGTCATCCTCTTCTCTTTCCTTCCTCATCAGGACCACCTTTTCCAGAGTTGGGTCTTCCCATACATAATGTGTTTGAAATAGAATAATTTGAACCTGGTCATTTGTGCCCCTTACAACAGTTTGTTTAATGACCATTTGAAGTTACAATGGGATTGGGAAAAAAAATGACTTAT